TATGGACTATATAGCCATGGTATTATATTGCACTAGACCTTCACCCAGCCAATAAATAACAACTTTTTCTTCTTTAAGAGATTGAATAAAAGGAAGGTAGTGGTGGACTCATGTTAAATGGGGGGGGGGGACTGGGGGTGTGGCAGGGGTGTGTCTTTTACTGAAATACTTTTGTGTTGATATCAGGTCCCCCCCCCCGGGTCTAACAGACACACATGTGGAAGAATTTAAGCAGTGCAGCCATTTGTGCTTGGCACTCTTACCTCCATAGCTGTCATTGGTGGGGTACACACATGACCCCCCCATCCCACTATCTCTCCTCCGTAGCCGTCACTTTGGTGGGGTACACACATGACCCCCCCATCCCACTATCTCTCCTCCGTAGCTGTCATTGGTGGGGTACACACATGACCCCCCCCATCCCACTATCTCTCCTCCGTAGCCGTCATTGGTGGGGTACACACATGACCCCCCCATCCCACTATCTCTCCTCCAGAGCTGTCATTGGTGGGGTACACACATGACCCCCCCATCCCACTATCTCTCCTCCGTAGCTGTCATTGTGGGGGTAAACACACATGACCATGACCCCCCCATCCCACTATCTCTCCTCCGTAGCCGTCATTGGGTGGGGTACACACATGACCCCCCCGTCCCACTATCTCTCCTCCAGAGCCTGTCATTGGTGGGGTACACACAATGACCCCCCCATCCCACTATCTCTCCTCCGTAGCTGTCATTGGTGGGGTACACACATGACCCCCCCCCCACTATCTCTCCCTCCGTAGCTGTCATTGGTGGGGTACACACATGACCCCCCCATCCCACTATCTCTCCTCCGTGCCGTCATTGGTGGGGTACACACATGACCCCCCCATCCCACTATCTCTCCTCCGTAGCTGTCATTGGTGGGGTACACACATGACCCCCCCATCCCACTATCTCTCCTCCGTAGCCGTCATTGGTGGGGTACACACATGACCCCCCCATCCCACTATCTCTCCTCCAGCTGTCATTGGTGGGGTACACACATGACCCCCCCATCCCACTATCTCTCCTCCGTAGCTGTCATTGGTGGGGTACACACATGACCCCCCCATCCCCCATCTCTCCTCCTATCTCTCCTCCGTAGCTGTCATTGGTGGGGTACACACATGACCCCCCCATCCCACTATCTCTCCCTCCGTAGCCGTCATTGGTGGGGTACACACATGACCCCCCCATCCCACTATCTCTCCTCCAGAGCTGTCATTGGTGGGGTACAACACACATGACCCCCCCCATCCCACTATCTCTCCCTCCAGTAGCTGTCATTGGTGGGGTACACACATGACCCCCCCATCCCACTATCTCTCCTCCGTAGCCGTCATTGGTGGGGTACACACATGACCCCCCCATCCCACTATCTCTCCTCCGTAGCCGTCATTGGTGGGGTACACACATGACCCCCCCATCCCACTATCTCTCCTCCAGAGCTGTCATTGGTGGGGTACACACATGACCCCCCCATCCCACTATCTCTCCTCCGTAGCCGTCATTGGGGGGGTACACACATGACCCCCCCGTCCCACTATCTCTCCTCCGTAGCCGTCATTGGTGGGGTACACACATGACCCCCCCGTCCCACTATCTCTCCTCCGTAGCTGTCATTGGTGGGGTACACACATGACCCCCCCCATCCCACTATCTCTCCTCCGTAGCTGTCATTGGTGGGGTACACACATGACCCCCCCGTCCCACTATCTCTCCTCCGTAGCTGTCATTGGTGGGGTACACACATGACCCCCCCGTCCCACTATCTCTCCTCCGTAGCTGTCATTGGAGTGGGGTACACACATGACCCCCCCCATCCCACTATCTCTCCTCCTTAGCCGTCATTGGTGGGGTACACACACATGACCCCCCCATCCCACTATCTCTCCTCCAGAGCCGTCATTGGTGGGGTACACACATGGACCCCCCCATCCCACTATCTCTCCTCCAGAGCTGTCATTGGTGGGGTACACACATGACCCCCCCCCCATCCCTCTATCTCTCCTCCGTAGCTGTCATTGGTGGGGTACACACATGACCCCCCATCCACTATCTCTCCTCCGTAGCTGTCATTGGTGGGGTACACACATGACCCCCCCATCCCCACTATCTCTCCTCCAGAGCCGTCATTGGTGGGGTACACACATGACCCCCCATCCCACTATCTCTCCCTCCAGAGCCGTCATTGGTGGGGTACACACACATGACCCCCCCGTCCCACTATCTCTCCTCCGTAGCTGTCATTGGTGGGGTACACACATGACCCCCCCATCCCACTATCTCTCCTCCAGAGCCGTCATTGGGTGGGGTACACACATGACCCCCCCATCCCACTATCTCTCCTCCAAAAGCCGTCATTGGTGGGGTACACACATGACCCCCCCATCCCACTATCTCTCCTCCATAGCTGTCATTGGTGGGGTACACACATGACCCCCCCATCCCACTATCTCTCCTCCAGAGCTGTCATTGGTGGGGTACACACGACACCCCCCCATCCCACTATCTCTCCTCCAGAGCTGTCATTGGTGGGGTACACACATGACCCCCCCCCATCCCACTATCTCTCCTCCGTAGCCGTCATTGGTGGGGTACACACATGACCCCCCCATCCCACTATCTCTCCTCCGTAGCTGTCATTGGTGGGGTACACACATGAGGACCCCCCATCCCACTATCTCTCCTCCGTAGCTGTCATTGGTGGGGTACACACATGACCCCCCATCCCACTATCTCTCCTCCAGAGCCGTCATTGGTGGGGTACACACATGACCCCCCCATCCCACTATCTCTCCTCCGTAGCCGTCATTGGTGGGGGTACACACATGACCCCCCCATCCCACTATCTCTCCTCCATAGCTGTCATTGGTGGGGTACACACATGACACCCCCCCATCCCACTATCTCTCCTCCATAGCCTGTCATTGGTGGGGTACACACATGACCCCCCCATCCCACTATCTCTCCTCCAGAGCTGTCATTGGTGGGGTACACACATGACCACCCCCCCCCCATCCCACTATCTCTCCTCCGTAGCCGTCATTGGTGGGGTACACACATGACCCCCCCATCCCACTATCTCTCCTCCATAGCCTGTCATTGGTGGGGTACACACATGACCCCCCCATCCCACTATCTCTCCTCCCGTAGCTGTCATTGGTGGGGTACACACATGACCCCCCCATCCCACTATCTCTCCTCCGTAGCCGTCATGGTGGGGTACACCCCCCCCCCCCATCCCACTATATCTCTCCTCCATAGCCGTCATTGGTGGGGTACACACATGACCCCCCCCATCCCACTATCTCTCCTCCATAGCCGTCATTGGTGGGGTACACACACATGACCCCCCCATCCCACTATCTCTCCTCCGTAGCTGTCATTGGTGGGGTACACACATGACCCCCCCATCCCACTATCTCTCCTCCGTAGCGTCATTGGTGGGGTACACACATGACCCCCCATCCCACTATCTCTCCTCCGTAGCTGTCATTGGTGGGGTACACATGAACCCCCCATCCCACTACACATGACCCCCCATCCCACTATCTCTCCTCCGTAGCCGTCATTGGTGGGGTACACACATGACCCCCCCATCCCACTATCTCTCCTCCGTAGCCGTCATTGGTGGGGTACACACATGACCCCCCCGTCCCACTATCTCTCCTCCATAGCTGTCATTGGTGGGGTACACACATGACCCCCCCCATCCCACTATCTCTCCTCCAGTAGCTGTCATTGGTGGGGTACACACATGACCCCCCCCCCATCCCACTATCTCTCCTCCGTAGCTGTCATTGGTGGGGTACACACATGACCCCCCCATCCCACTATCTCTCCTCCGTAGCTGTCATTGGTGGGGTACACACATGACCCCCCCATCCCACTATCTCTCCTCCGTAGCTGTCATTGGTGGGTACACACATGACCCCCCCCATCCCACTATCTCTCCTCCAGTAGCTGTCATTGGTGGGGTACACACATGACCCCCCCATCCCACTATCTCTCCTCCGTAGCCGTCATTGGTGGGGTACACACATGACCCCCCCATCCCACTATCTCTCCTCCATAGCCGTCATTGGTGGGGTACACACATGACCCCCCCCATCCCACTATCTCTCCTCCAGAGCCGTCATTGGTGGGGTACACACATGACCCCCCATCCCACTATCTCTCCTCCATAGCCTGTCATTGGTGGGGTACACACATGACCCCCCCCCCATCCCACTATCTCTCCTCCGTAGCGTCATTGGTGGGGTACACACATGACCCCCCCATCCCACTATCTCTCCTCCGTAGCGTCATTGGTGGGGTACACACATGACCCCCCCATCCCACTATCTCTCCTCCAGTAGCTGTCATTGGTGGGGTACACACATGACCCCCCCATCCCACTATCTCTCCTCCGTAGCCTGTCATTGGTGGGGTACACACATGACCCCCCATCCCACTATCTCTCCTCCGTAGCTATCATTGGTGGGGTACACACATGACCCCCCCATCCCACTATCTCTCCTCCCGTAGCTGTCATTGGTGGGGTACACACATGACCCCCCCATCCCACTATCTCTCCTCCATAGCTATCATTGGTGGGGTACACACATGACCCCCCCATCCCACTATCTCTCCTCCATAGCTATCATTGGTGGGGTACACACATGACCCCCCCATCCCACTATCTCTCCTCCGTAGCCGTCATTGTGGGGTACACACATGACCCCCCCCCATCCCACTATCTCTCCTCCAGCAGTCCTGGCACAGACATCGAACATTTGCCACTGTCAGGCTTCGGAGGTCCTCGTATTGGACAATCAGTGGTCGGTGGAGATGTAATGGGACCCTCCGTTGAGTTGCAGGGAATTGATAGGTGAAGGTGGAGTTCCTCCTTAGTGAAGGATTGTGTAATGATGGCCATGACTTGATTGGTCACTTTATGTCATCTGACGGCGATCTCTTTCTTCTTCCAGTTAATCTATTGGATACGTCCACAATCCTGGGAGAGTGGGGCTGGCTGACGTACCCGCCGCATGGGGTGAGTGTGCATATAATTCCACCATGATGTATGCGATGTATTGCAGGCCAGATGGTCTCCAAGATTCCCCCCATTGTAGGGAGTTAGATGACAACATTTCTGCAGGGGGCCTTCCTCGGGGGGTCTCCAAGATTCCCCCCATTGTAGGGAGCTAGATGACAACATTTCTGCAGGGGGCCTTCCTCGGGGAGTCTCCAAGATTCCCCCCATTGTAGGGAGTTTGATGACAACATTTCTGCAGGGGGCCTTCCTCGGGGAGTCTCCAAGATTCCCCCATTGTAGGGAGTTTGATGACAACATTTCTGCAGGGGGCCTTCCTCGGGGGGTCTCCAAGATTCCCCCCATTGTAGGGAGCTAGATGACAACATTTCTGCAGGGGGCCTTCTTTGGGGGGTCTCCAAGATTCCCCCCATTGTAGGGAGCTAGATGACATTTCTGCAGGGGGCCTTCCTCGTTGGGGGGGGGTCTCCAAGACCCCCCCCCCATTGTAGGGAGCTAGATGACAACATTTCTGCAGGGGGTCTTCCTCGGGGGGTCTCCAAGATTCCCCCCATTGTAGGGAGCTAGATGACAACATTTCTGCAGGGGCCTTCCTTGGGGGGTCTTCAAGTTTCCCCCCATTGTAGGGAGCTAGATGACAACATTTCTGCAGGGGGCCTTCCTCGTTGGGGGGGGGGTCTCCAAGATTCCCCCCATTGTAGGGAGCTAGATGACAACATTTCTGCAGGGGGTCTTCCTCGGGGGGTCTCCAAGATTCCCCCCATTGTAGGGAGCTAGATGACAACATTTCTGCAGGGGGCCTTCCTCGGGGAGTCTCCAAGATTCCCCCCCATTGTAGGGAGCTATATGACAACATTTCTGCAGGGGGCCTTCCTCGGGGAGTCTCCAAGATTCCCCCCATTGTAGGGAGCTAGATGACATTTCTGCAGGGGGCCTTCCTCAGGGAGTCTCCAAGATTCCCCCATTGTAGGGAGCTAGATGAAATTTCTGCAGGGGGCCTTCCTCAGGGAGTCTCCAAGATTCTCCCCATTGTAGGGAGCTCGATGACAACATTTCTGCAGGGGGCCTTCCTCGGGGGGGGTCTCCAAGATTTCCCCCATTGTAGGGAGCTAGATGACAACATTTCTGCAGGGGGCCTTCCTCAGGGGAGTCTCCAAGATTCCCCCATTGTAGGGAGCTAGATGGCATTTCTGCAGGGGGCCTTCCTCAGGGAGTCTCCAAGATTCCCCCATTGTAGGGAGCTAGATGACAACATTTCTGCAGGGGGCCTTCCTCAGGGAGTCTCCAAGATTCCCCCATTGTAGGGAGCTAGATGACATTTCTGCAGGGGGCCTTCCTCGGGGGGGGGGGTCTCCAAGATTCCCCCCATTGTAGGGAGCTAGATGGCATTTCTGCAGGGGGCCTTCCTCAGGGAGTCTCCAAGATTCCCCCCCCATTGTAGGGAGCTAGATGACATTTCTGCAGGGGGCCTTCCTCAGGGAGTCTCCAAGATTCCCCCATTGTAGGAGCTAGATGACATTTCTGCAGGGGGCCTTCCTCAGGGAGTCTCAAGATTCCCCCCATTGTAGGGAGCTAGATGAAATTTCTGCAGGGGGCCTTCCTCAGGGAGTCTCCAAGATTCTCCCATTGTAGGGAGCTCGATGACAACATTTCTGCAGGGGGCCTTCCTCGGGGGGGGTCTCCAAGATTCCCCCCATTGTAGGGAGCTAGATGACAACATTTCTGCAGGGGGCCTTCCTCAGGGAGTCTCCAAGATTCCCCCATTGTAGGGAGCTAGATGACATTTCTGCAGGGGGCCTTCCTCGGGGGGGGGGTCTCCAAGATTCCCCCCATTGTAGGGAGCTAGATGACATTTCTGCAGGGGGCCTTCCTCAGGGAGTCTCCAAGATTCCCCCATTGTAGGGAGCTAGATGACATTTCTGCAGGGGGCCTTCCTCAGGGAGTCTCCAAGATTCCCCCATTGTAGGGAGCTAGATGACATTTCTGCAGGGGGCCTTCCTCAGGGAGTCTCCAAGATTCCCCCATTGTAGGGAGCTAGATGAAATTTCTGCAGGGGGCCTTCCTCAGGGAGTCTCCAAGATTCCCCCATTGTAGGGAGCTAGATGACAACATTTCTGCAGGGGGCCTTCCTCGGGGGGGGTCTCCAAGATTCCCCCCATTGTAGGGAGCTAGATGACAACATTTCTGCAGGGGGCCTTCCTCGGGGGGAGTCTCCAAGATTCCCCCATTGTAGGGAGCTAGATGGCATTTCTGCAGGGGGCCTTCCTCAGGGAGTCTCCAAGATTCCCCCATTGTAGGGAGCTAGATGACAACATTTCTGCAGGGGGCCTTCCTCAGGGAGTCTCCAAGATTCCCCCATTGTAGGGAGCTAGATGACAACATTTCTGCAGGGGGCCTTCCTCGGGGGGTCTCCAAGATTCCCCCATTGTAGGGAGCTAGATGACATTTCTGCAGGGGGCCTTCCTCAGGGAGTCTCCAAGATTCCCCCATTGTAGGGAGCTAGATGACATTTCTCCCCATTGTAGGGGGGGGCAGGGAGTCCCCAGATCCCCCATTGTTCCTCAGGGGTCTCCAAGATTCTCCAAGATTCCCCAAGATTCCCCCATTGTAGGGAGCTAGATGACATTTCTGCAGGGGGCCTTCCTCGGGGGGGGTCTCCAAGATTCCCCCATTGTAGGGAGCTAGATGATTTCTGCAGGGGGGGCCCTCCTCAGGGAGTCTCCAAGATTCCCCCATTGTAGGGGCCTTCCTCAGGGGGGGAGGGTCTCTCCAAGATTCCCCATTGTAGGGAGCTAGATGACATTTCTGCAGGGGGCCTTCCTCAGGGAGTCTCCAAGATTCCCCCATTGTAGGGAGCTAGATGACAACATTTCTGCAGGGGGCCTTCCTCAGGGGGGAGTCTCCAAGATTCCCCCATTGTAGAGAGCTAGATGACATTTCTGCAGGGGGCCTTCCTCGGGGGGTCTCCAAGATTCCCCCCATTGTAGGGAGCTAGATGGCATTTCTGCAGGGGGCCTTCCTCGGGGGGTCTCCAAGATTCCCCCCATTGTAGGGAGCTAGATGGCATTTCTGCAGGGGGCCTTCCTCAGGGAGTCTCCAAGATTCCCCCATTGTAGGGAGCTAGATGACATTTCTGCAGGGGGCCTTCCTCAGGGAGTCTCCAAGATTCCCCCATTGTAGGGAGCTAGATGACATTTCTGCAGGGGGGCCTTCCTCAGGGAGTCTCCAAGATTCCCCCATTGTAGGGAGCTAGATGACATTTCTGCAGGGGCCTTCCTCAGGGAGTCTCCAAGATTCCCCCATTGTAGGGAGCTAGATGACATTTCTGCAGGGGGCCTTCCTCAGGGAGTCTCCAAGATTCCCCCATTGTAGGGAGCTAGATGACATTTCTGCAGGGGGCCTTCCTCAGGGAGTCTCCAAGATTCCCCCATTGTAGGGAGCTAGATGACATTTCTGCAGGGGGCCTTCCTCAGGGAGTCTCCAAGATTCCCCATTGTAGGGAGCTAGATGACATTTCTGCAGGGGGCCTTCCTCGGGGGGTACAAATTAAAGCATCTCTATAACACATGAATTGATCCTGAGGCACGACAAGTCATTGGGAATATTGATCACACAGCACATTGGCCACTCCGAGGTCACATGTCCATAATTAACCCTCAAAGGTTGCAGTCGGTGACCCCAGAGATGCAGGAAGTCAGAGTGGAGCAGAAATGACATAAAATATTCTACAGAAATGGAGTCCATGCAAATTCCTCATTAGAACCTCTGACAGTAGCACATTTCCAGTGTTCACCATCCCATTCCCTGCTGGGAATTCTTGTAAAAGACAGCAGCCCACAGCAGCCAATTAGAAGCCACTTTACTGAGGCAGACCAGTGCTGGTTGGTTGCTCTAGGTGCTGCACTTTGCTCTGAAAATGACAGCTGCCAGACAGCCAGGGAGCTGGTATCTTCTGAAGATGGTCCTCTGGTTTCCTCTTTTAGGACAGGTCCTTCATTCATAAACATGAGGCTTTAGCTAAGTACATGAAGCATGCAAAGCCAAAAATCGAGCACCATGGTCCACCTCCCACTGGAATGAGGCAAGATGGGGTGTGATGGGACCCCTGGTGGGGAACCTGAGGTGGGACATTTCCAGTCTTCCATGGTCCACCTCCCACTGGAATGAGGCAAGATGGGGGTGTGATGGGACCCCTGGTGGGGAGCCTGAGCTGGGACATTTCCAGTCTTCCATGATCTGCCTCCTAGACAGAGGCAAGATGGGTGTGTGAGGGGACCCCTGGTGGGGAGCCTGAGGTGGGACATTTCCAGTCTTCCATGGTCCACCTCTCACTGGAATGAGGCAAGATGGGGGTGTGATGGGACCCCTGGTGGGGAACCTGAGGTGGGACATTTCCAGTCTTCCATGATCTGCCTCCTAGACAGAGGCAAGATGGGTGTGTGAGGGGACCCCTGGTGGGCAGCCTGAGGTGGGACATTTCCAGTCTTCCATGGTCCACCTCCCACTGGAATGAGGCAAGATGGGTGTGTGATGGGACCCCTGGTGGGGAGCCTGAGGTGGGACATTTCCAGTCTTCCATGATCTGCCTCCTTCCAGACAGAGGCAAGATGGGTGTGTGATGGGACCCCTGGTGGGGAGCCTGAGGTGGGACATTTCCAGTCTTCCATGGTCCACCTCCCACTGGAATGAGGCAAGATGGGTGTGTGATGGGACCCCTGGTGGGGAGCCTGAGGTGGGACATTTCCAGTCTTCCATGATCTGCCTCCTTCTAGATGGAGGCAAGATGGGTGTGTGATGGGACCCCTGGTGGGGAGCCTGAGGTGGGACATTTCCAGTCTTCCATGATCTGCCTCCTAGACAGAGGCAAGATGGGTGCGTGATGGGACCCCTGGTGGGGAGCCTGAGGTGGGACATTTCCAGTCTTCCATGATCTGCCTCCTTCTAGACGGAGGCAAGGTGGGTGTGTGATGGGACCCCTGGTGGGGAGCCTGAGGTGGGAC